GGGGCTGGGATTGTAGCTCAGTGGTAGAGTGCTTGCCTAGCACATGTGAGGCACTGGGTTCGATTCTCAGTACCACATAAAAATAAATAAATAATAATAAAGGTCCATCAACAACAAAAAAAATTTTTTAAAAAAACTAATATTTTGACTAATTCCAAGACTAGAGTTCTTTTCCTGGGGGCAGGGGTCACGGGGAAGAGAAGCCCTTTAAGTGCAGCAGTGTTTTCTCAGAGCGGGAAGAAAATATTTTAGATCACTCTGTCCTATCACATCTCCGTCTTCCTCAGAAACCAGCCTGGGACTTGTCTACTGAGGGCGAGGAGGCAGATGTTGAGAAACTAGGATGTTACATAAGGTCTACTTTTTTTTTTTTAAGAAAGCACTACGTGCTGTCACAGATTGTATGGATTTTGCACTTAGGCAACTGAAAAAAAAAATACAGACCACATTTACCAAAACAAAAAACAAAAAAAAACAACAACATTAGCAGGGCATGGTGGTGCATGCCTGAAATCCCAGCAACTCAGGAGGCTGAGGCAAGAGGATCACAAGTTCAAAGCCAGCCTCAGCAACTTAGTGAGACCCCAAGCAACTTGGTGAGACCCTGTCTCTAAATAAAATAGAAAAAGAATATTAAAAGAGTTGGGGTATGGCTTAGTAGTAAAGTGCCTCTGGGTTCAATCCCTGGTACCAAAAAAAATAAAATAAAACATTATTGGGTTAAAATATATCACAGTGATGGCCACATTGTGGGCAGCGCCTGTGTGGAAGGACGCAATACCATTTTAACATGGGAGCTCTGAAACCACCAGAAAAGGACACACACAGGGACACACACACACACACACCCCAGCACCAAACCAACCCTCACTTCATATGGTCAGATACCTCATCCTCTCAGGACTCTGTGTACACAGCACACAAGGCTGCTTCCATAAACTGCTTTTGCCATAAACGACTGCCCAATAAAATAAAAATTAATGATTAACTTTTGCTCCCTGAAAGCCACTGAAGAAGAAAACAGGTGTTTCCTGAATAGCCTTTGCATAGAGGGAACTGACTTTTCCCAAGCTCTATAAAAACCTTTACAATTATTTGCCACCAGGACTTAGTCTTGGAGCTAACATAAATATGTGACACCTGAAGAGGTCAGATCGTGGGTTGAAATGCTTACTAATCATAGGTGTATTTGGGGTCAAAACATTCCTTAAAAATGCAAGCTCCTAACCAGCGTTTGCTTTTTTTTTTTTTTAAATATTTATTTATGTATTTATTTTTAGTTCTCGGTGGACACAACATTTTTGTTGGTATGTGGTGCTGAGGATCGAACCCGGGCCGCACGCATGCCAGGCAAGCGCGGTACCACTTGAGCCACATCCCCAGCCCCAGCGTTTGCTTTTGAAATGCCTGGAGTCTGAACAGTGATCGCACCCCCTCCCACCAGTTCTACATATCTGGAATTGGAATATTGAAGAATCAATGACTACAAACTAGGTTCTTTGCTAAGCACTAGAGATACGCAGCCATTAGGGAAGAAAGGCAAATAAATTAAGACCTAAAAGAAAAATAGGAATTAATCTGATCAGACAAGAACTACTAGAGCTGGAATAATTTGAGTTCAAATCCCAGAGAGAAGGGAAACCCAGAAAGGTGACCTTATTTTCCCTAGAGGTCAACTGATTCAAATAGCAGTAGATGTGAAAGAGGACTTTCAATAGACTCACAGCCTAAGGGGGGAAATGGAGTTCAGGCCCTGAAAGGAGGAGAAACCATGGTAAACCCCCCAGACAAAGTGGCTGGCACTTTGAAGAACTCTTCCCAGGCTGAACTGAAAATAGACCAGTCCTCAAGGGACTAAAGCTCAACTTCAGATCTCAATTCCTGACTGCACTGAACTAAGATGAAATAGAAGTATCCAGAGACAAAGGTAAATATGCTCTAGAGAAGAATCAAACTACCTAGATCTCAAATAACTTCTATAATTTTTCACATACAATGTCTGGAATTCAATCAAAAATAACTAAACACATGAGAAAACAAGATGTGACCAAAACCCAAAAACAACAACTGACATTCCTTATCAGAGGAAGACATTAAACAATGATAACTAAGGGGCTGGGGTTGTGGCTAAGCGATAGGGCGCTCGCCTAACATGTGGGAGGCCCTGGGATCGATCCTCAGCACCACATAAAACTAAATAAATAAAATAAAGGTATTGTGTCCAAGTACAATCAAAAAAATTTTTTTTAAAAAATGATAACTAAAAAACCACAGTGAAATAATAGTACACCCTAAACACAACAGATGAAATTTTTGAAAAGATAATACCAATGAAGCCAGAATTAAAAATAGGTAGTCAGCATAGATGGATGAATGGAGCCAAGGTGAGAGAAACAGACCAAACCGGTTTGGGTCCAAAAGGTTCAAGACTCTGCTGTGGGAGATTGAAATGTTAATGTCCCCAAAAGCCTGGTGGATACTGCCCTTCCCAAAGAACTGTTAATAAAGCAACCCCTGAGCAGACAGGGAACTGCTAATTAATTCACCCTGCACGCGGCTTCCTGCTGGGATCACTCCCCCCCCCTCCCCACCTCCCACCCCTTCAGCCCACCTGTTTACCACTTCTTCCTTTCCCACCTGCATCTCCCAGTCACTTGTACAGGATGCAGAGAAGGGAAATGAACAAGGGGCAAGAATGTAAAAGAACAAAGAAAACTTTAGATGTATAAAGGGATGGGGCTTCCTCATCCCAGGGATTCCACCTTTTGGGTCCCCTTCTTCCTTTGGGGAGAAGTCTGTTCTACTACCCTTTAAATAAAGCTTCTTCCTTTCTACTCTCCACTTGCCTCAGGTGCTTGTCTGATGTTACATTTCAGCATTCAGGGGAGCAGGACTCCAAGGTAAGGGATAACTGGAAGTTCACCAAGTGTTGAAAAGAACAGTTTTGTTCCTTTTCTTTGGTTAAGATCGAGGTAAATATAGCAAACTGTTAACACATCTTCAATCTAAGTGGTAAGTACATAGGTATCTATTATACTATTTTCTGTACTCTTCTGGATTTTTGTGACATTTCATAATTAAATGTTTAAAAAAGAAAAAGGGGTGGCTAAAGAGAGATGAGCAAGGGCCAGATTATTTTAGGCTTCAGAAGTCATATTCAGAAATCTTCATTCTGCGGACAGTAAGAAACCCCTTATGATTTTAAACAGGGAGGTGACAGCATTTGACTTGCTCCATGAAGATCACTCTAGTTGCAAGGCAGCAAACAGGGTGAGGGTAGGAAGCCCAACTGCCAGGAAACCTGGTACAATAAGCCAGGTGAAAGATGATGACACCTCGTGCACTGGAAATGAAGGAAAGCTGTAAAGATCCGAAGGATGGAGTGAGTTTTCTTCAGTCCTTACAACTGCTGCCCGGTCAAATCAAGGCCACTGTGACAAACACAAATCTAAAGTATGAGCAATTTCATTAGAACAAGGGCAAATTCCAGGACACAGCCTGGGACTGGTAAAATAAAAATTAAAAAAAAATAATCTGAATTTTTCTGCAAATCCTTAGAAGAAGCCCCAGCAGTTATAAGACTGAAAGCTAATAAGCACTCAGCTCAACACCAGATGGCCAGATAGATACATTCACAACTTGCCAGGATTTCTGAAGCCTTGTGCACCCTTCCAAACATGCAGATGCTTTTTATCTGAGAGGGAAAAAAAACCTATTTCTGATTCTGATAGCAAATGCCAAGTCACATTTTGCCAGTAGAGAATGGCATCCACAAACTCCCTGAGAATTTCACAATCTTATTCTCATTTTGAAGAGACAGGCTGTCTTTCAGTGCTACTTCCATAGGTCCCCCAAGAAAGTAAAAGAAAAGGAGGGAGAACAACAATTTCTGAAGAACTCAGCTGCTGCCTTCATACCCAAAAAAGTAGAGCTGTGTCTCTAGGTTATGCACATTTTTTTCTGTGAGGACAAATTAAGCATATCCAACAGAAACTTATCTGCACTTTCTGAAAAATGAACTGAGTCACAGAGTCTGACAAGTTCTTCAATAACTCTGAGCTTTTTGACCCTCCAATGGGGAGAGGCTGGAAGAATTCATTTTCCTTATCATTGTGTTTTGTGCTTGTCCAAAAGCATACACCAAGCACACCCAGTTCCCAGCGTGGCCAGCTTACTGTTGTCCTTTGAGCTGACTTATGAATGCCTAGTTTTCTAGATATGGAATTTTACATAAAATTTCCCCCAATCTGTTCACACAACAAAAAATATTCAAAGATGTTCTTTTTAAAGGAAGAGCTTTCCAAACACATGCCCATTTAGTGTTTTAATTTTTATGTATCTTGTAGAAGAATGTGGTTTCAGAGGTAGGAAATATACTAGCTTGCATTCAACAATCCCTATACCAGAATACAAAAAAGGGACAAATTTGTGAATAATGTCATACAAAGTCTGATATATGAAGAGGTTCAAGAAATAAATAATCACTGAAGGACTCAACTTTCTGGCTCAACATTTACTCAACATTCTCATTTTGTCAAAATAATTTGCTGAATCAAAAACTTTAACCCATCAAAATTCAGCCAAGTAGCTACATGAAAAATACCATCTAACAGATCTTAGGAGTTAATACTAAAACATTAATGAATTTTGCAGTTATTTATATATCATTCTTTGATCAAATTTATGAGATTGAGTATAATTTCTCAAATATTAATGACCATTACCATCCAGCAGCTAATTGAAGATCATAGGGGCTGGGGATGTAGCTCAGTGGTACATATGCCCAGCACGCATGAGATCCTAGGTTCATCCTTGACACCAAAAAGGGAAAAAAATGTTCACAGACACTTTATATGACACTTGAAGGCTTCAAGCGAGGTATGCTTAGTGTCCCTTTAGAGAAATTCAAGATTGATGTCGTGAGAACAGAAATCCTTGCTCTCATCTGTCCAGAGGACAGAGCTACCTTCCAGGATACCAGCTCAGTGGAAGATACTCACTGGGTTGAGCACTTCTTCAGCAGAGTGGTGGACGGTCCACCAGTCGGAAGTCCACTCCCACGCGTTCCCCACTATGTTGTATAAGCCATAACCATTGGGAGGAAAGGCGTCCACCTAAAGGCAGAGAAGGGAAATGCTGTCAAAGCACTGCCCTCATTCAAAAGAACCTCTCTGGGGCAGAAATGTGCTAAGAGCTATAATTTCAGAGTAGAAATACTAATTTTCATTCCCAACAGTCAAAATACAATTTGACCAACATGAAAACAAAGAAAAAGGCATTTTTTATTTTACTTTGAGTCCTCAAAGGGATTGTAGAAATCTAAGAGGAGTTTACATTAAATAGCATGGAAGCCTGTGCAATTATTTCTGATAGACTGACTAGTACTGATCCTAAGTCAAATCTCCAATGGTGTGTGTTTGTGTGTGTTCACGGATGACAGTGAGACCTTCAAGATCATTAAGAGGAATAGCACACTGGACTCACTGTGAGTCTTGTCCCCAGAGCTCAGCTCCCCGGCCACAGTGTCTTTCAGCACTAACAGACCCCAGGTCCACTCTGTCTTCTCCATCAGCCCCCTCCGACCTGCCTGAGCCATGACCATTAAAAACTGAGAGGATTTGTTTTTATGGAAAATGTGAACTCCTTATTGAGTGTACCTGAAATAGTGGGTTTGCAGTCTCTGGCATATGGAAGTCTGAAGCAAATTACATATTCAGGTAGGAATTATACCACATTTGAAAGGCAGGTCAGACAGTGACGCATACAATTGTCACAGTCATAGCCTAAAAGCATCCAAAAAAGGAGGGCAAGAAAAAAATCTTTAACTAAATAACAGTAAATGTAGAACAGATTCGCTAGTTTCATAACTTAAAATTTCTCCCAATCTTTTTTTAAAATTTTTATTGGTGCATTATAATTACACGCAATAGGATTCATTATACCATATTTTTGTATGCATTTAATTTGATAGATCTCATTCCCCAGTACCTTCTCCTTCCCTGCCCTCCAATATTTTAAAAGAAATTGTTAATGGAAAGGAAAATTTCATTTTTTCAATGAAAAAAAAAATCAGGTTATCCTTGGAGCTTTTTATCTTTTGGTAAATGTGTGCTTTTTCCAAGCTAACGAAGTAGGACTGAAAGAATGAATAAAATAACATTCATTTCTATGTGGCTTCAGATGGTTTCACATGTACACATGAATATGGAAGCATCTGCTGCTTGGGCAATTCAGAGCATTTCAATCAAAGTTAGGAAGCTACTCTGAAAAGAAGCTCATCTGATGAGTTGGAAAGTTGAACACTGTTGACGCTCTGCCTCCACAATCACCATTCATTCTGGAAACAGCAGTGCTTGGGCACTGCTTCATTCAGTTACTCCAAGCCCAGCAACTACAGGCAGGGAGAGGTTCAGTGGTGACTAAGATCCCAAGAGCGTAATGAGGGAGGAGAGAAGAAATTTCCACAAGCTAAAAATCCAGTTCTAAAAGGCAGAAGGGACAAGCGGGGTAACAGAGGGAAAGAAAATGCCACAGAAATTCCAAGAGGAAAACATTTCTGGCCCAAGGTATTGTCTCCCACAGAGGTGGAGGTGTCTCAGTAGACACTGGAAGACAGATCAGAGACAGGGAGAGGCCACAACACGAGCTGTTTTTTAAAAAAATCTGGAGAGGGTCAGAAAGAAGAAATTCATGTGCTTCAGTAAGGGAAGGGGCAGGAGAATAAGCACAATTTTAAAATTAAACATTCTGGAGGAAGCATTTATTGGGGGGCCGGGGTGCTTCTAGAAAGAACAGACAGAGCCACTCTGAAGAGCCAGGCTGAGGTCCCAACTTACCAGTTAACATCAGGCAAGTACTTCAGCCTCTCTGGGTGCTGCTGATCCATAAATGGAAAAATAATGGGACCTACCCAAAGATCTGGGTGTTTTTCTCCCCCCTTTAAATAATCTGATGTTTAACTGAGGTAAAATCAGAAGGTCACCAGCCCCTAAATTACTGTATGTATTTCTGTAGGAAAAGTGAAAATTTCAACTACTCAAAGTTAAATTAATCATATTAACCAGAGCTTACCCTCAGGAGCCTGAAAAGAAAACAGATGTACAAGACAAGGGCTTCTGACAAGCTAACCTTCAAGTGAACAAGGCGATACCCATTAAAACCAGAAGGAACTCATAATGGTACGAGGGTGACCCAGCAAAATATAAACTCAATTCTTTCTTTTATATATATATACACACTTTTTTAGTTGTTCATGGACCTTTATTTTGTTTATTTATATGCAGTGCTGAGAAGCGAACCCAGGGCCTCACACATGGTAGGCAAGTGCTCTACCACTGAGCCACAACCTCAGCCCCGGCATTCAATTCTTTAGGCTCACCGTGGTCCATGTATTTTCCTTGGTTTCAAGTCAGATATGAAATAATTAAATGTATGATCCAGTGAGGAAGCCACTTTACGATAGTACATATGTGCTCTCAACTGTCCAGAGCACATGAACAGCAGCAGAGCAGCTCAGGGGGATTCATGAAAAGCCTCAATTGAAAGACTGAGTCACAATAAGTCTCCAAACACAGGTGGGGGTCACCTCTCCCTGGCTTTCTTGCTTTCTCCTCAGGTCTGGTTTCTCCAATTGGTCCTTTTTTTTTATTTTTTGGTACTGGGGATGGAACCCAAGGGCACTCAATCATTGAGCCACATCCCCAGTTCTTTATATTTTTTATTTTGAGATTGGTTCTCCTAAGTTGCTTAGGGTCTCACTAAGTTGCTGAGGCTGGCTTTCAATTTGGTGATCCTCCTGCCTCAGCCTCCTGAGCCAGTGGGATTATAGGCATGGACCACCACACCTGCATCTCAAATTAGTTCTTTCCAGGCTCCTGGTAACTGTTCTAACTTTGTCTTAGTAGCTTCCATGGCAACTTCTTCAGGTAGGAAGATGTGCTAATCTCCCCCATCCAATGTTCCAGCTCTAAATATCAGAAGAATGTCCTTATTTTGCCTCAAATTTTGTGTTTTTCTGCAAGGGTGCACAGACTTGAGAGGACCTAGCTCGATTTTCCTCGGCAGCCAGGTAAACAGAGCTAGGCGCTGCTGTAATGGCAAGTGCTGTGCAGTACAAGTGCACGATGGCCCAAGACAGCCGTATCATGGCCTTTTGCTAAAACAGGCACTTCCATCATTTGTCCCATCCATCAGAAACAGTTATCACAGACCGATCCAAATGAGGGCAGGGATGAAGGCCATTACCCATGCCTCTCAAATGGGGCTGGCCCATCTGGGGACCACATGATCCTGCCCAACTGCTGATCACGTGGCTGCTTCCACACTCTGGCCTTCAAAGCTCTCATGTGCATATCGACTACTGAGACCTGCACCTACCACCCCGCCCAGGCGCACCCTCTTGGCTTCGAGGTTTACAGCAGTGGCCTTCCTTGTCACAGCATGCCATCCATTTTTAGGGATTGCTGTGTGTGTTCAGATGAGATGTCACACACTCCCTGGCAGATTCCAACTCGGAGGACAGCACCCACATCAGCACCTCCAATGGCACTCTGTTCACCCCACAGTGCTACTTCTGCTGCCCCAAGGTGGCCCACTAGGCGCCCTTAGCGCAGTGCTCCATGCAGCAAGCTGGGCTCCTCTCCCATTTGAAGTGGAGAAAAGGGCTGAGATCACCTCTTCCTCAAGACCTCCAGTCATGGACTTCACTGAATAAAACTATGTCCTGGGAGGGCAGCAGTCGCCCTGAAGGAAACTAGGGAGGAACTGGCACCACATGGTTCGATTAGTCTTTGCCCCTGTGCAATCATGCATTTCCCATGGGTTTGTGTTAATTAATCATATGCATAACTCACACACTAGGAATTTGATGCACACACATAAATGCACGCACTTACCGAAGGGCTATTCTCATGCAATTTCTTTTTTATTTCATTTCTGCTCTGAAAACTACAATGCTGAGGAGTGGGGCAAAGTAGCCAAGGAGGTGGGTGCCGTGGCCTCCTCTCCAGCCTGGCTCTTTGGGCACCACGCTGATTCCCCCTCTCCCCACCAAGCCCAGCTGCTGGGAAAACTGTGGAGCTAGCTCCCCAGCTCAGGTGGTGAATTTTATTGTCCTGGGAAATAGAAGAGTGCTTTGAGTAAAAGGTATGCCTCCAGAGTTCAAGTGCCACTTAAATGATGAGGATGTCATTGGTTCTGACAAGTGAAAGGGCACACACCTAGGAGTGGAATTACGAGGTGTTAAGTAACTCTAATGTTCAGCCTTCTGAAGATATGCCTATCTGTGGTCCACAATGGCTGCAGTTTCTTACATTCCCACGAGCCCCTGTGAAGATCCAGCTCCTCCACACCCTGCAGACAGCTGTCCACCTGCTGGGTGAAGTGTGGTCACATGTATCCCCCACATTCAGGTTTGTTCAATGAATTTGGAAAAGGCGCTGGTTTTCACGTGTGGTTTCCAGTGTACAACTATAATAAGCATATGTTCGTGTCATGTCTTCTAAACCAAGTAAGCTGGATCATAAACCATTTTTTATACTTTGATCAGCTTTTGTTTTAGATATTTTGAAGCTGTACTGTTAGGTATAGAAACTCACTGCTCTTAAATCTTAAAAAAAAAAATACAATGCTGAAATCAGGATAGGTCACATTAATTTTCAATTTCTGGTAGGTCACGAGCTTCTCTGTCCTTCATCTTTTCCAAAAATGACTTGGTCGTTCACTTATTTTATTTTTTAGCAGCAATTTTGTAATCCTTTGATCATGTACCAAATAAACACAAATCGATTTGGGAAGCATTATTTTTGTGTCCAACAAAAATACAAATGCTTTCAAAACATGACAATTATTTGAAAGATTGTTGGAAAAAAAAATGATTTTCTAAACAACAAATTTAATTTAGGGCTATTTTCCCACAAGATTTATTTCCTCAGTGTGTTAAGAGAAAATGAAAATGTTTTGGCTCTACTCTCATTGATGGCGTCTTCCTCAAAATTCATGCTAAATTTTTTTTTTATATATTTTTTTAGATGTTGATGGACCTTTGTTTTATTCACTTATTTATATGGGTTCTAAGAATTGAACCCAGTGCCTCACACATGCTGGGCAAGTGCTCTCCCACTGAGCCACAACTCCAGCCCTTATGTTAAAATTTAATCTCCAAAGCAACAGTGTTAAGAAGGGTGGTCTCTGGGGGAGGGTGACTAAGAGATGCTGAGTGATTCTGCATGGGATTAGCACCCTTACAAAACGGCTGGGGATTGAAGGAAGTGCTCCTTCTGCCTCCCAGACAGGTGAGGGCACAGCAGTAGACCCCTCTAGAGGATGTAGCAAACACCACATCTGCTGGTACCTTGATCTTTGACTTTCCAGCTGCCAGAACTGGGAGAAATACATTTCTGTTTATAAACTGGCCTGCCAGTGGTGTTTTGTTATAGCAGCACAAATGGACTAAGACAGTTTTTTAACACAGTTTCATTAGTGTATGATTATGCAGCAGAAGAGCAGGGAGAAAGGAACTCTTGCAGGCCTTCTGGAAAACCACAGGGCCATATATTCCAAAGTCATATCCAAGGAAGTTTTGTAGGGCTAGGGATGTAGCTCGGTCGAGCACGTGCTTAGCCATGCACAAAGCACTGGATTCAATCCCCAGCACCAGAAAAAGGAAAAAAAAAAAAAGAATATATTCTGACTCTTCAATTTCACTGCTGGGGATCTTTTTTTTTTTTTTTTAATACCTTTGTTTTGTTTATTTAGTTTTCTTAGTGGTGCTGAGGACCAAACCCAGTGCCTGGGGCGTGCTAGGCAAGCGCTCTGCCACTGAGCCACACCCCAGCCTTACGCATCTGTCTTTTAAAAATCAGAGACAGCAATGCAGCTCCATATTTATGTATGAGATACTCACTGTATGTTTTACCCCGTAAAAAAAAAAAAAAAAAAAAAAAAACAGTAATAACTTAAATCTGCAACAATCAGAGGTAAATAAAATTTATTCCTTTGACTGTTTATCCAGCTGCTGAAAGAAATGTATTGGTGAAAACTATTCATGTAAAAAAAAAAGAAAGAAAGGAAGAAAAAAATGTTCCCTATATTAAGTAGGTAAAAATAGGATTTTAAATATTGTGTCCAGTGTGATCCAAATGCTATATGTAAAAAAAATCTATGATGTACATACACCAGAAACACGTATGCCAGCCAGTATGGTAGTTCAGAGCACAAGCTTTGGAAACAAACCGACCTGGTTCAAATCCCAGCTGTGCCACTTTCCTGCTGTGTAACCCTGGGCAAGTTAGTTAACCTCTCTGTGCCTCAGAATGGTCACCTGGAAAATGGGGGAAATAGTACCTACCTTACAGAATTGAATCAACAGTAAAAGAGACAATTCATGCAAATGGCTAAGCACTATGCCTGGCACACTGAAAGCACTCAACATCCACTAGCCAAGAATGAACAGAAAGGAAAAGCACTAAAATGCTACCAAGGATTCTCTCTGGGTGGCACAATACGAGATCAATTTAGCTTTCTCTTTACGGTGGTCTTGTTTTTCTAAAATTTGTACAAGTCTACCTTATTAAGGGATCAGGGGAAAAAATACACTATAAAAGTGGGGGCTATTGGCAATTGGTGGCCAATCGCCAATAGTCCCCACTACTAGGGAGGCTGAGGCAGGAGGATTGTAAGTTCAAGCCCAGCCTCAGCAACTAAAAGAAAACTCAGCAACTTAGCAAGTCCCTGTCTCAAAATTAAATTGAAGGGTCTGAGGATGTAGCTCAGTGGTAAAGCACGCCTGGGTTCAATCCCCAGTACAAAAGAGAGAGAGAGAGAGAGAGAACATCAGGTTAAATACTGATGTTGGCCTGTAGAATATCCATTGTGGGTCCCCCTGTGACAGCGATGAACGCAGCCGCGGCCACCCTCCTTCACAGGGTCACTACTCACGGGTGCAGTTCCTTGGAAGCCGTCCTCGGCAGTGTTGGTCACTGGGAACTCGCCCTGCCAAATGTTGGCATAATGTTGGCCTCTCGGCTGCAGCTTGTTGCCCCAGGGGAAAAGTCTGTTGGAAGAGACATGGGCATCAGCCTGCCAAAGGGAACGGGCTTCTGGGTTAAAGTCAAGGGATGAGGGAACGACACTCTTGCTCTCAGTGAGCTTTTAAAATATACATATATATAGAGAGAAGAGCTTTTAATCGGTTTTTCCTAGTTTCCTTGTAACAACTCATGTCCAGTTACCAACAACCTCAGTCCTTCCTGAGCACTCGGAAGGCTGGAGACCAGTCCCATCACTAACAGCAGGACTGGTGACAGCCGGGGAAGGAGGCCTCATCCTGGACTTATTTGGTAGCGTGATCAGGCAGCACCACACCACACTTTTTTATAAAGCCGTGGCTATTTTAAGGAGCTTTTCCTAGAAGATGTGACCCAAGCATGAGTTTTCTGTCTCATAGCTCTAGAAGCGAAGAAACAGCACTGCTTCAGAAGATGCCTAAAATAAGAAAGTGCTAACAGCGAGGCGGCCTGCCAAGCCGCTCCAGAGGCTAACAAGCAGCACGTGAACCGCTGGAACTTGCTTCAGGGCTGAAGGGAGCCCTGTTGGCCGGAAACCTGGCTTTGGGGACTGCCAAAGGTCAGGGGGTCGCTCACCAGTGTCACCTAGGTCACCTCACAGGGAAGAGGAAAACCGTGGAAGAACAAGAGCTGCCTGTGTTCAACTTTCTGAGCAAAGAAAGTTCCATGGAGTTAAACAAAAAAGGGCTGGGCAACATGAGGCCGTCAGTACCTATTCTGCAGCCCTCCTCGACAGCTGTACTCCCACTCAGCCTCCGTGGGCAGCCGCTTCCCTGCCCACGTGCAGTAGGCCACGGCGTCATTCCAGGAGACGTGGAGCACCGGATGATTCGGCCTGGGGAGGAGGGAGAGCAGAGTGAACAGAGGCTCCGATCGGAACAGGAAACAGGAACTGGCTCCAGCAAAGCCTGTCTACTCATCTGGGTTTGGTGGGTGACCCCGTGATGAAAACCATGGCCATGCACACCCCAGAGCTCCATGCCATTTATTGGGCCTGCATTAGAGTTTCTGTCCCCTCCACAGGGGGACCCACAATGGATATTCTACAGGTCAACTCTATCTCAGCCTCAGTTTCCGGAGAACCCAACCTAGGACACCCAGCTTCAAACCCTGCATCTTTTCTCTGTTTCCACAAAGGACTGACTCGTCATATTTGCCTGGCTGGAGCAGATCCCAACTCGTTCTCCCTTTTCCCCAAGGGACAGAGGGATGGGGAAGGCATCTTGGATTGAATCCCCTGCTCACTTTGTCTTTAAGTGGTCTACACATTCTGAGTTCCTTCCACATACATCTTTGAGTTTTCTACAGTAATTACTCCAGGACTTTCGTGTATTCTTTCAACGAATGTTTGCTGAGTAGCTATTATGTGCCAGATACTATTCCCAGCACTGATAAAAGATGCACTTTTCTCAGAAGACTGACTCAGCCAGCCATTCAGTTTACTACATGAATTTAAAAATACATCCCATGGGGAGGCAGCACCACTGTAGAGCACGTACTTAGTATGCACGAGGCCCTGGCTTTGATCCCCAACACTGCAAAAAATAACCCTCTTCGGATTTTTCTGCCTCCCTTCTGCTTGCTTTTTCCTCTCCCCATAAACTCAGGAAAGAAGTTATGAATAGGGAGCTCAGGGGCCGGCCCTCCTGAAAGATTTCTGACTTTTGTCACAGGGGCCTATCCCTAAAGCTGAACTCATGTCCTCCCAGCTTCCGACAATCAGGGGAGCAACCAGGAATGCTCTGAAGATAGAGACTTGAAAATGCCACCTGAAAAATGAGGTTAGGAGAGCAGTCTGCTTGGGCTGTGGAGGGACGGATCCTAACCCAAACCCTCTCCACCTCTGGGCTTAAAGTCGACTCTATTTTTGCTCGAGATAATTACTTCCTTGCCACCCTGGAGACTTGCTGACCGACTTGCTGCTCTGTGGTTTTGGAGTCAGATGGTAGCTCCAAAGTATGTCAGCCCGGGACTACAGAGCACATGGATCCTTCACTCAAGGGCCACCTGGCAGGACACAAGTGCCCATCCATGAGACAGTCAGTCCTTCCTCATAAAGATGCACTCATGAGGCAGAACAAATGGACAGACTGGAAAGATTAAACATGACATGAGATCTATAACAGGCCTGTCAAAGGGGGAAATCTGCAAGAAGATACTCTTTGACAGGCCAAATGAGGAAGGAAAGAGACCATCTATTAAGAGCCTTCTGGGAGGCCGCAGTGTTTAGGTCTTCACAGACATTATTTCCTGTCATCTCATTTTCCTACCAATCACTGATGGTTTGTCACTCTTGCTATAATCTTATAGCTGAAGATGGCCACTGGGTTCTTTCTCAAGAGCACAAGAATCTGTATGGAATGAAGCGTGTCACCTGGGCCTCACCTGACTCACCTGTGCAGAACAGTAGAGTCGGGCCCCTCTGGGTGTCTCCAGTTAGCGCCTTTAACAGGTAACCACCAGGGAGCGGCTGCAACCTCGAAGCAACCCAGAAGAGGCTGATGTTAGCCACTGTGACGGTCGAACACTGCACTCAGCACCAAAGCCCCATCTGGGTTACCAAACATATACCTCTACCAAAACATCATAAGATTGGTTTGTAAATAAGTCTTCAATGAAAGTATCAATTGATATTATAAAATGTCACAGTGGTGAAATAAGTATGAATTTAATTGATGCGTGGCTCTAAGATTATATATATCAGGCATGAACCCAGGGGCACTGTACCACTGAGCTACATGCCCAGCTTTTTTTGTTTGTTTGGGACAGGGTCTTGCTAAGTTGCGAGACTATCCTCAAACTTGTGATTCTCCTGCCTCAGCCTCCCAAGTTGTTGGGATTACAGGTGTGCGCCACAGTGCCCAGCTTCTAAGAATTTTTAAAAGATGCACTACTGGGGCTGGGGATGTGGCTCAAGCAGTAGCGCGCTCGCCTGGCATGCGCGGGGTGCTGGGTTCGATCCTCAGCACCACATGAAAATAAAAATAAAGATGTTATGTCCACCGAAAACTAAAAAATAAATATTAAAAAATTCTCTCTCTCTCTCTTAAAAAAAAAAAAAAAGAAGCACTGCTGACTAACCCTCTGTGATCTCTGACAAATGAAGACAGACTGTACTTCTCCTTTTTAACACCTGGGGAAACAGTTAACCTTAAAATTAAGTATAGGGCCAAAAGTGAACCAAGGTGGTCAGAAATCAAGTTGAATCACTGAGGAAAAATGGAGTATGTTTTTAAAAGACCTTGGTTTCATTTCTAGCCCCACATGGGCTGTGTGAGCTGGGGTAAGTTCACTACTTAGCTAGCCAGCCCCTGAGAGCCTCATCTGTGAAATGCTTCCCCTAACGCAGAATACCAGAGGAGGCCAGATCTTGGAAAGGCTCAGTAAACTGTTACTTGGACCTTTAAGGTTCTGTTCATCTTCTTAACAAAAATAATAACAGCAAAGGTCCTCAGTGAGTGGTGAAGAACAAGTCTTTGAAGCCATCAAAACTAGATTTGAATCTTGGCTTTGCAGTTTACATTGTGACTCTTGGCAACATCTTTAAGCTTGAGACAGCAACAGCACCTACATCTTGAGTTTTAGCAAAGAGGAAATGCAGCACAAAGGGCTTAGGACCTCAGCTCTTAGCAGCTTAGGCTAATGACTCAAGGAGCAGTCAGTAAAGGGAACCATTCTCACATGATCTTCCCCATGACAATCAGTAACAAGGACAGGCTCAAAAGATAGTAAGTGAAGAACAGAAGTTTGCAAAGGAGTCTTCTAATATAAACTCCATGGGACTCAAGGTCATCTCCATGACAATGGTACTCTCCATCCACAGCATCCTGCTGAGCATGGCTGAGTGGAAGTGACAGGGAGCTGTGTCCCTGCTACCAGCAATAGCTATAACTGGAAGCCCCAGACTCCGTTCTCACTCATCCTTTCTCAGAGCTGGAATCTTCCAAGAAACCGGGGCAACATGAAGACCCCCTTCAAACCCCGATTCTTGAGACCAAGTCAGAAAGATTTCAGACATGTCACTCAGAGTAAGAGGAATGAGCTTATTGAGGGAAAGCAAAAGGGAAAGGGGACACTCTCAAGGGAGAGAGTGGGTTCTCTCAGAGAGGTACAATGTACCTCTCCTGCACACCAGTTTTATTGGTGATCCCAGAGAAGTTTCCAGACAGTTCCACCTAGGTCCACCTCTTGACACAACAGGGTGACTTCAGACTTTCAAGTCCCCACTGTCATGGCAATTGTAAGTCAGTCACCTTGGTGCATGCTGACCAGTTCTAATTGGATTCTTGACTATACATTATTGTAGATTTTATGGTTAAGAGGAACTATCCTTACGTCCCAGAGTTTCAGGATCTGGTCACAAGAGTCTCCTGGGTTCCTCCCATCAGCAGTATCTTGGGTCTGCATTTCTCTTGCAGTGAACAGGTAGTTTGCTGAGGAATGTAACATAGCTTGTCCACCTAGGCCAGTCAGGGCTGCAGGTGAATGGCTTCTTGGAAAACAAAGCACATGGGCCCATTCTATAGAATTATTCTCTTCATCTCATGTTCCCTCTATCCTCATCGGTCTGATCCCTAACAACATCAACAAGCTCAGAACATGCAAGGTCTCGATCACAATGTGATGGCAAAGTCCATTTCAACACAGAAGGCATTTTGTCCCTAAACAGCACTTCTGCACGGGATCTCACCCCAGAGAGCACAGGGTGCAAAGGCAGGGTTTCTTTCTGTTTCATTTGTGGCACTGCATAAACTCATCTGAGACATCCTCCTCGACAGGACCACTCCATGTTCAGGTGCCAGTGACAGACAGTTTGCCACATATCAAGGGAAGATGTGCACAGAGAGCCGCAGTCACTCCACTCTTGTGTTTCAATGCGACCTTCAGATCACTCACCCGACCCAACTCCACCCCCAGCACTAAGCACCCCACAGGAAGTTCTAGTTCTTAAGTTTAAAAAAGAAAAAGAAAAAAGGCTAGCATAAATAAAAATGGCAAAATACAGAAACATGTAAACCTTTGTTAAATTTGGGGTAGCTTTTCTCCTCAGACCCTTTTGTGTTTTGAAATATTTCCTCATTAGCAATTAAAAAAAAAAAAAAAAAAAAAAACTCACAGCTGGGTGTGGTGGCCCAAGTCTGTAAGCAGAGCTACTCCAGAGGCTGAAGCAGGAGGATCGCAAGTTCTAGGCCAGCCCTCGCAACTTAGTGAAACCCTGTCATTAACTAAAAAGGTTTTTTAAAAGGGCTGAGATTATAGTTGCAGTGACAGAACACCCGTCTGGTTCAATCCCCAGTACACAGAAGAGGGAAAAAAAAATCTCAATGGGTTTATCTTTCCTACTACTAATAGGCACTTGGGCATTTCCAGTTTGGAGCTACTTTGAATTCTGCTGCTTCCATGAATATTCTTCAATGAGTCTGTGACCTTTAATAAACATGCGCATGCCTTTCCATGCTCTGTACACTGTGGAGAGCAACTGCTGGATCATGACACCCACACCCAGCTTCAGCAGAGACAAACACAAGCCTTCCAGGCAGAAGCCCCCCAGGGTTTCAGGACCTTTTTAAAAGGGGAGCTCCCACGGTGGCTTACCAACAGAAGGCCTGGGCGTGTGCTCCAGGGGCCAGTCAGGCCATTCTTTTTCCCCTAAATCCAACTGGTCACAAATACTTATTGAGTGCCACTGTATGCCAGTCCCAGAGCCTAATCCCTGAAGGGGATCTCAAAGTCCCAGAAAACCTCAGAGTACCACTCAGGACAGTTGGCATAGTCACAATTTTTACAATTATTTGTTTTACATAAAATAATTCTGTGATTGCAAAAAGTGGAATACAAGTGTGAACCTAATCATCTCTTTTTCCTTCAAAAACATGTCCAAGATTCAAATCGGTAGGTCTCTCTCACCTCTCTCTCATTCTAGACGTTTGCTTTCCATTGCAAAAAAAGAATATTTCTTTTCTGAAATTATCTAGCAACCCATCTGAAACAGACTGTTAGCTCGCAAGTCATACAGTCATAGAGCCATGAGATCCTTGGCAATCTCAGTGATGTGCACAGAGAAACAGGGCACAGCTTGGCTCAGGCATGGGGAAGCCAGGATACCACTGTGCCTGACCAAGTATCAAAACCTAGTTCTTTGGTTCAAAACACTGAGATCTGAAGCAAGTATGCAGAGACATGTGCATAGCATATGACACTGTTCTAAACAAAAATTACAAAATAACCCAACTGTCCCTGGTGTTCATCCATACCAAACATACTGCGCAGCTAGTCACCCAAGAATGCTCTGACATGGGAATACACATATTGTGTATTAAAGGTGACATGTACCATACACACTGATTCTGTTTCTACAAATACATACATAAAATGATACTGGCATGACCAGAAGAAAAAGATTCTAGAAGAATATACATGCATTTTGCAGGGGTGAAGGACTGGGAGAGGAATACTTTTTAGGAATGAACATTCAACACCAAAAGGTTTTCTCAACCTTGGCATTTACCAACTTTGGTTTATCTGTTTGTTTTTCTGGTACTGGGTCTGAACCTAGTGGTGTTCCACCACTGAGTGACATCCCCATCCCCATTTTTATTTCATTTTAAGACAGGGTAGCCCCCTGTCTGAATCACCCTGGTTGACCTTGACCTTGTGATACTCCTGCTTCAACCTCCCAAGTCACTAGGGTTACAGGCATCCATGGTGCTACAGGGCATGATGGCACACATTTTAGGCCACATACTCCCTTGGTGCAGAGGGGTGCCTGTGCACTCTAGGAAGGTCAGCAGCATCTCTGACCTCCACCCACTAGATACCAGTTGTAGCACAAAACTGCAGAACACAAAAAATATCTCCACTGTTGCCAGATGTTCCCTGAAAGGAGCAAATCACCAGCTGGACCAATAATCGGGAAGAGATTACTCTTCTTAAGTGTTAACATATAGTTCATAGTAACAGAGGGTAAAAGCATCTTACCCAGAGTCAGCTGCCTGGGGTTTAAGCACAGTAGTTCATTTACAAGACACAGGCTCCTCTGGCTCTTTGCCCTCTCCAGGCCCCACCTCACTCATCTGTGAAACAGATGTAAAAATACTACCATCTACTTCCTAGGCTCGCTGTGAAGACTAAATAAGGAAACCTATGTAAAGCACTTGGCCAGGTAAAGAGGAAGAATCGCAGCAGTGTCAGCTGTCATTATTGGTATTTTTCGTTTATATTAGTACAGGGTGCAACATTCTCTTGGAGCTTTCAATGAACAAGATCCTAACTAGTCAAAAACCTATCCCAGTAGTTCTTCAGCGAGGCTCACCCACCCACCACTTCACCCTTTCAGAATATTGACAGGCTAAGAAAAGTGCCAGAGAAGAGGAGGTGGTCAAAGACACGCTGAAGAACTCTCAGGAAGAGTATGGAGTGGTGTCTTCCACCGAACCCACGATGTGAGAGCCATGTTCAGGGAAACTGACCCACTCCC